GGGAATTGAGTGGGTCAGATCCTCAAGGGTTCCTGGTCACGTGAATAAGTCCTGTGCCAATAAGATGGCCTGATAATGACCTAACCAGATTGCTACCATCACCGGTAAGGAAGGGTAATCTGTATTGTACTCCTCCACGAAAGGAGTAAGCTGATCAGCGGAGATTTGATCGGTGTAGTACATGTCCCACTTCACATCGATAGGCTCAGCGTAAACCATATGACCCTCAAAGAACTGCTTGAGGATGACCTGCCTTGGTGGGAATGAGAGAATGGGCTCGGGTGCACGGGTAGGCTCAACATTAGCTCCAGGGGTGCTCAACTGCCCGGTTGATGGACGTTCCTCATGTGGATCAGGGGGAGTATCCATTGACGGTCCTGCTGCTGCTCCAGGGGAATTCTTAGGAGGGGCTGGTCTTTGAAAAGTCAATGAGGACTTCCTCATGGTGACATTACGAGGTGGTTCCAGACTAGCAGGTCTTTGATGAGGTTTTGAACTACTCGGGGTTGTTGAAGATCTCGGTGTTTGGTTCTTGCCAGTGGTCATTTATGTGCTTGGAAATTAACAGTCATAGAGTAACATTTTCTTTGTAGGGAAAGAGCGGTCCAGCCTGGATCACCACTGTGAAGAGTGGTGGAAGTTCTAACTGTTCTATATATGAAGAATATCGACCGTTTAGATATGACATGAAGATGTATTGACTGTTTAGTTCAATACGGTCGAGTGAAATAGCTATTTAAAGTAGAATAGAGAGCTAAAATGAATAAGGAGAATCGACTGTGAAGTACAATTATGAGTGACTGCTTGAGTGTAGGAGAATAACGAGAGAGTCAAATAACAGAGTAGCGTGGATGTAGTCCACATGGATTGAGATAAAGGTGGAGTTTCGACTAGTATAGTTCGAAACTCTGATTGCATAAATAGTCAAAGCCCGTCTGTGATGGTCGAGACGATACCCCAATCACAACTTACAGGTGTTACGACTGTGTCGCAACCCTTCACACACCGACGGTCCCCGATGGTATATTGTAGTTATACGTCTTCAATAAGACGAGATCTCGGAAGCCGTCGGTCCCCCGACGCTGATGTATGCCTTCCGGTCAATCAAACCCGACTACGCCTTTCTGTCTGGTTATGTTTGATACGTCCTTTTCATTATGTTGATCCATTCCACTCTATGTTTCACACATGTCTATCTATATTTGTAGTCCTCGAACTATTTCCTTTTATCGTAATTTCCATTCTCGGTTATCATCGGCCTCCGAACTAATCATAAACTTCCCGTTCCTAGTCAAGCTTAATGCTAATACCGTTTTCCGCCCTTCTCCCCATTAGTATTTTCTAGATGCCTGTTACTTGTATATGAACCCGCTGTAGTTGTAGTTACGAGGCAATCAGAATATCGACTCAGAATACCCTCATACGTCTGTAACAGTCTCATACTAAGAATCCCCCATCCGCCTTTGCGTGCGCTCGCCCACTTCCGGCCCTGACCCCTTGGCCCGACACTTGACTTGCCCTTCGGTTCCGATCAGTATCTTGCCAAAAGGTTCTTCTTAGGATTAGTCTTCACCCGTCCGAAATTTAAGGACAACCAACGGATAATTGCAAGGGCGCAGCACATAAGCTGAAGCCAAGTCCTTCCGATCGGTCCCCGTCAGCCACCAACATTAGTCAGTTTCCAGTTCTTAACAACAGGACACTAACTGGTGTCTGGGTAAGTTGTGGTTGGGGGGTAAAAAGTGTCTGAGTTCTAACTACAGGTGCTAGAATACATAAGTTTGGCATGTATGTGCCCACAAGAGTCAATGTACCACATACATAGGTTGTTGAACTAATTATAAGTGTATAATAAAATAGAGAGAAAGTAGAAATAATAATGGAAATATAGTATGATCTCATCCAGACTATATTTCCTGAGTATATTTTACAATACCTCTCACACAGAGGGATATTTAAAGAGAAAGGAGTAAGGGGGGGCCTCCGCTAGGTACTTCAAAAGATGGGGTGTCTAAAAATAGAGTGACAGCTCAGGCCAAATAAGCACTAACTATTTACCCTACCTTAGAATATTCCTAGAGGGGGAATAACTATTTGAAAAATATGAGAAAATTACAGGCAACAATATAAAAGAACCTCTAAGGGTCAAACTAGTTGGGGGAATTTATGAAAGAGCTGATGATCCCAGATGGGGAGTCAAGACTGTAAATAATTGGAAATGGGTTAAAAATATAGACAAGAAACAATTCTAAAATCAAAAATGCAAAAACTTGAATGTCCCCTTACACTCTGGTTATCAGCTAAGTGTTAATTACTTGTTTGAATTGTACTTCTTGTTTGTTTTGGAAATACCAGAGCACCAGACAGCATCTGAGTGTGCATTACATAAGTTGAAGCAAGCTCCACTTGTCTTAGAACCAGACTCCCAGTTAAATACATACAGACCTCCCAGTCTTCCACCTAGTTCCTTGCTGTTCCTCCCAGTCCTTAACAGTGTACAACCAATCTCCCTTAACTATGATGTCATCAGTAGATATCAATACATAGATGTCCAATGAGTGCATTTCATTTGGACTAGTGTCCTATTTTCATCAGATGATCCTTAGTTTGAGTGATAAGCAGGAACAAAAATAGATTCATCATCACTACTATTTACTAGTCCTCATACAGCTAGTCCATGAATCATCTGCTGTGATATATATGATATTTAACTAGTAAAACATACAATCCAAAACTCGTACTACAGCGGCCTATTTTCTGTGGCCTTGGTATTAATACTACATATGTGTGAGCAAATTATGCAAATAACAGAGGAAGGGGGTGAATATAATGCACAATCATGGTAAGGGTTCTCGACTACTTGACAGTCGGTTCAGATGAATATAAACATCTGTTCCATACCCCTCCATCGAAATAAGTCGTAAATCGCCTCCAAAGTATCGTGCATACTAGAAAAGGCACCCAGCCCTTCTTTAACTAAACCATGCCGTAAGCAAGAAGCCACTCACCAACCGAGACAACGGCAAGCCATATCCGAACCCAGCCATCGGTGCCTTGAAGTCACTCCCCTGCGTCTCAAAATCCGGATCGACACTTTGCCCCTCCATGGTTGTATACATATACGTCCAAATGAGCGGAATGGCTGAACGCGGGATGCCCCCGCCCTCATCGGATATTTTGATAGTGATGTCCTCGTTGCCTTCAACGACGATAACTTTTATTGGGGGGAGACGGGTTTCGTCGGTACCGAAGCGTTCGACAACGGCACGAAGAGAGTTCTTGAGAAGTTCGAAGCAGATGTGCGATCTAATAATGGAGGGTGGAAGAGAGCGAATAAGGAAATAAGGCCACGACGTACAAGTGACCAGGGACATAAGCGAAGTGGAGATTTTCAGGACAGATAAGCTGAACAGGCGGGCCTTTGAACATTGCATAGTGCTCCTCGCACACGAACCGCGCGTTCTCAATGGCTTCATGCACAACGTCTCGTACGTTAGTATTGGTGCAAATGATGCCAACATAATCTTTATGGGCTTCGAGCGTGTTTAGTGCGATATCTAAGCGTTGATATAACATTAGACACCTGTCATACAGTCATCCGAAATGGAAACTCACGCTGCCCAATAAGAAATCGGATTCCGATACGGCTCATGTAGAAGCGATCAAGCCATGCCTGCAAGTCCATTCCAATCTCCTTCTCATTCTGACTGCGCTTCCATTCCAGCATGCCTTGTGCGACAGTAGTAACAGTCGGGTCGTGTCGTCGTTTTATATTCTCGAGGACCTTCGTGAAACGTGTATTGTAGTCGTGAACTTCTGGGGGCCAATCTACCTCGCCAGTGTGTGCATAGTACCTGCGGTCGTAAATACGGGGGCGGATGGCGTGTGAACCGCCGGAATACCTTCGTTCCATGGGAATACGGAGCTTTGATCTATTCTGTATACCATTACCTGGGGGAATCAGCTTGTGCATTGTCGGGTTTGGAGTCGCTTCGGGGAGTTGAAAGCCAGTTGGATGCGGGGCATTGAGGGCTTGACGAATTTGGTCAGTTAGTTTGGGTTTAGGGAATGTAACAAGCTCCTGTAAATTTCGGATTTCGTTTATCAGTCGGTGAAATGGCACATGGGTGGACGAACCTCGAATGACTGTGAATACCAGTGCTTAACTTTGGCGATAGAGGGCATCTTGCTAATGTTATGAGGTAGTTCGTCAAGCTCTTTGACTCTGTGTGCAAGTCGTACAGGTAACTCCTCTGCGGCACGTGTAAAATGGCTGCACCACAAGAAATGGGACTTTTGCGCTCACCAGCGAGGAATTGACTGCCCTTCAGCAGGGTCCCTTGAGATGGATTCTGACCAAAAAGGGCCATTTGCTGCAGTGAAACTGAATTCAAATTTTTTTAAGTCTCTGCAATATTCTAAATAATGTTGAACGAAGCAAACCTCCTGTTTGGGGAAACGATGCGAAATGATGGACCTTGTCCCACAAGGCACTTGAAATCCTGAATCCTGCAGACATTATGGGGACAAGGGATACTGTTAGATGCTATGGAGAAATGGACAGCGTACTGTTCATTTGGTTGCGGGTAACCTGTCCGCGAAGTAAGGGTTTTAAAGAGTCAGAGGGAGGCGCGCGTCACTGGTACGGGTGACCTTCGGAATACATCCGATCGCAAGGCTGAGCTCCTTACACCCTACTTGCCGGAACTCCTATAATTTCTGGTTACGAAATATTCAACGTCATCTGTCCTCGGAGCCAAAAATTATTAGCTTTAATCCTGATAATTAATGAATATTGGCATGACCGCGGCGTAATGGTTTTAGATTAACTTCAACTTCAACAGCTTCACCAAGCTCAAGCTCTGGTCCCAAGAAGGAGCTCCGCCAAGCTTCATTTTCCCACCAATTGAACGCCACATCAAGGCTAAAATTCTCCAGGGGCCTTTCACAATTGGTTTGTTCCTGACGTCACCTTGTACAGACTTGAACTTAAGTTAGTAGGCGGCCTGGCGTAATGGCAACGCGTCTGACTTCGATCGTCAGCTTTGTAATCAGAAGATTGCAGGTTCGAGTCCTGCGGCCGTCACTTTTTTGGCCCCGCAATCGCAATTCAATAATCTTCAACGGGGAACCTCACTTATTTCTTAAGATTGATTCTTTGAAGCGAACTTTCTCTACTCTTATCTCCCAACGTCATAATGAATCAGTCGTGGTAAATGTCTTAGCTCATTGACGCGGTGTACCTGCTCCACCTGCATAGCGCGCGAAACACCTTGGCCTGTTCGTCGAGGGCATTACATTTTCTAAACATCCCGGTGGAAGTACGACAACAAATTAAAGTTTCATTTATTTTTTATGACAACAAAGCTCTAGCCTTTAACACTGTAGAATTTGACAGCGAGAAAATGCGCCGTCACAGGTGGCGTCACTACTTCACCATGACCTCAGGAATTCGCCATAACTGACAGAGAAGAGTAGTATCATATATTGTCGTCGTCACAAGTACGTTTAGTAAACAAAAAATACAAATAGTAAGACAAACAAGACATGCAGCGGTATACCCCAGCCATATTAAGAAAAAATCGAGTTCTGGACTGTGCCTCCTGATTGTCCGCAGCCCTTTTCGAGGGGTACACGCCTCACCTCGCCCGTAAATCAAAAAATATGCTACAAGCGGCAGTGCGCATTGAGATTTGTCTACTGCCCTCCCCACTAGTGAATTGTGTCCTCGTCCTTCCTGGGTGTTCGATCCATCACACCCATTCATCTTCCGCGAGTAGGGATATAATTTGATTAATTCGGCGGCTCGTCCATTGCATCCATTGTAAACAACTCATCGTCGTCATCGTTGGAAATGACCGGTCCAGAGAGTGGACTGGACAATGGGTGCGAAGACCACTGTCTCCTAAAGCCAACACCCACAGTCCCCGAGTTGCTAACGGCAGGTGCAGCCGTATTGACACCAGAGTTACCCATTCCACCGCCTCGAGTCCCAAACAATGGCATCCGCTCGAATGGATCCCGATTCAAGCCTGATGGACTGGCCTGGCTCAATCCTGGGAATACACCAGTATATTCACTGCCAGAGTATCCGCTACTCATGCCCAACCCCATGGCTCTGCTATTCGGACTGCCGCTAGACAAGCCCGGAATATTGTGATGTGGGCTAGTGCTCGTCCCCAAATTAACAGGTGGTCTGATGTGAATTCGACTCAACCCTGCCGCAAGACCTTGTGGCAAACTCTGCCCAGGAGCATGCTCCTGTAGAGCACGCGCAGAAGGGCTGAGGGGATTCCCACTAAACATATCCTGACCCGCACCAGGAATCGGACGTGGCTGTTGCAAATCAAAGTGTTGGGAAGTGGCTGTGGCTGTATGAGATTGTGACGACGCGCGATTGAGATTGAAAAGGTTAGGCATTGGAGGAGAAATAAATCCGCTGGTGGAAGGTGATCCAGGAACATTGAAACCGAGACGAGCATTATTGGGCGGAGCCATGGGCTGGGTATCAGAGAATGTTCGTGCAGACACTATACTAGGTCGTCGGGGTAAAAACCCCGTGGAAACATTGGAAGTACCGAGATATGAAGGACTAAGTCCTGCGCTAGATGTCATATCGGCACCATTTTCGTTCCACAGACTTTTAACATTGTCCATGAGACTGGCGGCAGGCACTGAACGCGAATATCGGTGGTGAGGTTCAATGACAGGTCGTTGTCCCCCTGTTCGACTCAATCTACGCTTCCTTTCCTCATCAGTTAAAAGCTCATTCAAGCTTGAAGGCAGGAACTCCTCCAGATCATCCTCCTCGATCTGCACACCTCCTAATGCAGATGATCCCAAGTCCCAACCACGAAGTCCACCAAGAGACATTGCACCGGCAGCGCCCATAGGCACTGAAGTAGCGGAAGCTTTAATTTGAGTGCTGGCAGAGGCATCACGATCGAGACTGTAAGCCATGAAAAGCGATTTGGAGCCGGGAGCGGAAAAGGGCGAAGTTGATGGCATCGCACCTCCAAGCAGTCCCGAGGAATTTGGGGATGTCGACGGGGAGAAACCGTTGATACGGCTGGATGGTTGAGGGATTGGTTGGGAGATCGGCGTATGTCCAGGAGATGAACGAGGTGGAGAGCCAATAGGCCCAAACCCAAAATCGCCAGAACCATTCTGACGGGAAAAGCCTCTGTTAGCGTTTGGTCGCGAGAGTGGAAGAGGGCTCGTCTGTCTCTGTGTATCTTGTTGCGGAGGGCTTGAGGCTTTGCCTTGTTTGGCTGATTCCGAAGACGGAGTCGACAGGGCCAACTCTCTGACTTTTACAGCAGGGGTAGTAGCTGCGTTGGAGTCTGTTTGTGGTTGGGTGTCTACTTGCCTCACCTGAGCTTGTGACTGGATGGGCTGAGTGAAATCGCCTGGTAGACCGTAAGGGAAGTCAGTGTCCCGTAAGGGCGGAGCCGGTGCGGAAGGTGAAATGGTCGCTTTCGAAATAGAAATTGGAGCTGCGCCTCGTCCCAAGCCACGTCCAATCCCAATACGTAGACTTTCCTCCTTGTTACTTCCACCTGTCTTGCGACGTTCGCCTCGAGTGACGCCGCCGCCTGCGGCTGCGGCTGCTTGCTGGGCTGCTTTCTTGTTTTTTCTGTCCATTGACATGGGTTGTCCAGGCAAAATATGTGCCAGAGCGCACTTGTGTCCGAACTTGCAATTTCCCTTCAGGAACCATTGACAGACGTCTTTCTGTTGTCCAGGTTCAACTAGACTATGAGAAAACGGACAAGATGAACCCGCTGTACATTGTCCAAGTTTGAAGAATTTGCAAGGTACATGTGAAAGATCCTTCGCTGTCGTTATACGCCTCAGAAAATTTTTTCTAATTGGGCGTCTGCAGGCCACGTACCTTTAGCTTGGGCTTGGCCGCTCCCGCCCTTCGTCTTCGAACCGTTCTTGTCTTTATCTCGGTCAGCATCACGCTCTTGCGATCGTTCGCTGCTCCCACCTGTCTCCGAATCTTCTAGTTTCTCAGCTGGCATATCCAAGTCTGTTTGTGATCGTCAAAAAACGCTGCAGACCCTAAGAGGTCGTGTGCAGGGTAGAAGATAGTAAGATCACAACAGTAGTAACAGGAAAGATAGAAGAGATAGCAAGTCTTAACTGAGCAGCGGTTATATAGGGAGGGACGGTGTCAGGCGGAAAGAGACTTGAAATGCACAAGCTCAGTGCTAATTTCAAACTCCGTCGATAGCAGCGCCAATTGGCCTTGTTAATAGGGGGTTCGGAAGAGAATCTGTACACAGCATGCGCTCAAAACAGCGGAACATTTCCTGCTCTCGTGGGGAGCAATAAAACAATTATAGCTCCTCCCTCATTAATCGGTGAAATGAACGTATTTAATGCCAAAATAATAATTGCATACTACAATGTGCCCTTCAGCGGAAAAGGGGGGGAATGGAGGGGAAGCCATTGACGAAATAACAGCTCGACGCCACCTGTTTACAGATATCAAGCCTTGAACGATGGGAGGCTTAACGGCTCAAAAGAAAATGTGATCGCCGTCCCTCCAACCGAGGCACTGCATATACAAACCAGATCGTAGGGTCATAACACGATCTGGCTAGATTCGAATTAAAGGCAATGAAAACTCAACCCCTCCCTCCCCCTGTCCCATGCGGGGCCCTCCAACTCACTGCCGCAAAATGCCACCGTAGATGGTGACCGTTTTGGGGGTGATCAAAGCTATGGTAAGACTGTAACTCACAATCATAGGAGACGAATGGGCGCCACCGTGCCTAAATTGGACCAGGATCGTGGAAACTGGAGAAGCCCCTCCCCCTGTCTCGTTGGACGAGAGGCTGACAACGTTCGAGCCAGACACCCCCAGCTTTGTACAGACCCCCCTTTGCCGAACAGGGATTGTCATCATAATGAAAAAAATAATCCAAAAGTCGCACTCAGGGGAAAATGTAAGGTAGCTGGCTGCGCCAGACAGACTTGAGGGGATCCTTGTTAAAATCTGGGAGTCACAGGGTAGGATGGATGCAGAGGTCCACCTGACGTTAAAGAATACACAAGCAAAGGATAAGATACGGTTGCAAGAGTCATTACTTTGATATGCACACTTCTATGAGAAGAGTATATTTCTCTATTTCACCATTGACGACTCAGGACCCTCAACTATAGGTTCCATTGTGTATGCAGTATCGTTGCTACATGAAATCGCTCTGGGATGGTCGTTCTAAATTAAAATCATGGAATAAGCATCAAGGAATAAGCATATCATTCATGGAGGCTCACCTTCCTATGGAGTTCAATTGCGTTTGGTACGATTATTGAGAGATTCATAAGTTATATCCTTGCTAAGATAAAAGAAAGAGACACGAATTCAGATCCTCCTTACACAGAAAATACCAAACGATACATGTGTATGTTCAATTCACAACTGTATGGTATACAATTGTATCCTGTCCCGGGCATCAGGCAACTTACAGCTCACTCTATACACCCAGTCAACCCAAATGGTTATTCTGTGATTGATGCGGCAATTGTGATTGAAGGCTGGCCTTGATGTCATCAGAATATCAGAAATTCAATTATAAAATAACATATATCACAATATAAGTCTAGACCACGAGAAAGTCGAATGTAGCAGACAAATAAGGCAAACCTCATTATGCACTGGATAGAGATAAACCAAATGTTCATACATCAGTGTGGCGGATATCGTAATTTTTGAATGGGTCTCTTCTCAGAGCTTCTGCCTCTGTAGGAGCTCCGCTGATTTTTGGCCGAGGCGCAAGGCTCATAAGTGTTTCTGTAACAGTTGGGCAGACAGAGGTCGCAGCCAAATCCTGAAGTGATGATACAGTTCAAAAAGCTTCATAATAGTACTCGATAATTTACCTCATCTGTGAATGGGATAAACGAAGGCTTCGGGGTTGCTGGAGGAAGCCTTGTCATATTTGGTTCGAGCAGTGAAGTTGAGACCACGCATCGCGGCTGCGTGGCAGGCAGAGAAATCATAGATGTTACCCCTGCCCCGGCTTCGTCTTCATCCCGAAAGGGCACAAATTGTCCTCTCGTAGGAGGATCTCG